GGAGCTCCTTGCCCTTGAACACGGCCACCTCCTCATGCTCAATAGGCTCGAGGATCTGCCCCCCGACGAGCACTGGGGCGATCCGCCCCCGCTCTGCGGCCGACGCCCACGCGCGAGGAGTAGCGGGCATGGTCTCCACCTCTTCCTCGGCCTCGAGGACGCTCGCGGGGCCCGGGGGCGCCTGTCGCACCCAGCCTTCGCGCGCGCTGAGCACGCCCACCGATGACGCAACCGACGCAGGGGAGGGGGAGGGGGGGTGGGGGGGGGCGCTTCCAGGAGCCTCTCGAGATCCAGCGGCTCAGAGGGGTAGACCTCCTGCCCCGCGCAGCTCACGGCCGACGCCTTCATCTCAGCCCCCGAGTCCAGCTCGGGGAGAGCGCCGCCGCATTGGTCCAAGAAAACATCGACATCGATAGCCAACAACTGCGTTGCCAGCCGCTGCGCTGACGTCGCGCGCCCACGCGGGATTGCCAGGCGGGAGGACCCCCCCGCAGAGGCCATAGTGATAGCTGAGCCCAGATATAACAAGTGCCAGCCAATGGTTCACCTCCGGCACCGCCTGCACCAGCCCCAGGCCGCCTGGGCCCCCACGGCGCCACAGCTGGACTTCGCCCACCTCGCCGGACGGGAACGGGAGCTGGTTGCACCCCCGCCGCCTGGATGGCGGCGCGGGAAAGTCACTGGCCTCATCAAACTCATCAACGTCACTCATAATATCCCGCGAAGCCCTCGTCACATAACATGACAAACGGGAGCCCGATGCCAAAGGACAGATACATGCACGAAGCTCGCCTCCCAGGGCCTGGAGACTCTGCGCCGTTAGCGGGCACGAGGGCGGCAAGTCGAAGCAAGGCGCATCGCCGTGAGTCGGGCCCGTCGGCGTCACCTCGCACGTCACGCGCGACGCCGCAGTGCTGTCGTCGGGCGCCACAGTGACAGCAGACTCCCAGCTCCGACTGCACACGCCCACGCGTGATGGAGAGCTGCTAACCTCCTCCACGCTGTCAGCCTGAGGCGGGGTGCTCAAGCCCTCGAGCCCTTCGAGCCCGTCTAGCTGCCCTTGGGCCCCTTCGACCCCTTGCCCGACTTGCCCTTGCCCTCGCCCTTGCCCTTGTCTTTTTCCGTACCTTCTCCAGGAACGCCCCGCCGCTCAGCTTGCCGCGACCTGCGCCTGGGTCCTTGGTGGACCACGGCGGCCGCCGAGCACGCGGGCCGCCCCCCATTCTCGTCCGACCCGAACTGCACACGACGCAGCGCCGCCGCCGCGGGCGGCGGAGAGGGGCCCCGCGGCCGCCCTGCAGGCGGTGCGCCCGCGCCGCGGGCTGGCGGCGGCTAACCCCCTCGGCCCGGGCTCGCCCACGAGGGACTGATGTCTCCCGCCGCTGCGGCGCGCGCCGCGGGGGGCGGCGGCTGGGTCTCGAGCGGCCTCGCCACCCGCGCCGCCACGGCGCGCGCGCGCCTGCCTCGTGCCCCTGCCGCCTCTGCACCAGCGCTGGGGCTCTGCCGTCACCCTCGGCCCCGCGCCGCTGCCGTCGCCTGGCCGCCAAGATCGGCGCGCCCGTCGTCGCTGGAGGGGTCGGTGACGCTGGGGGCTGCGGCTCCCCGCCGCCAGGCCGCCGAGGGGAGGTCCGCGCCACTCCTGAGCCCCCCCCCCCCCATCGGCCGAAACTACGGGCGCTTCGACCCCTTCTTCCCCGCAGACGACAGGTGCTGAGCCAGCTTCGCCTCGTCGGGGAACGCGTTCACGGCGCCACGCACATCGCTGGCCCGCGCGAGGCTCGCGCCCACGTCGCCGCTCACCTCCAAGTGCTGAGCCACCTGCCAGCGTCCGTCTTTGCGAGCCTGCTCGATCGCCCCCAGCCTCTGCATCAGCATGTCACCCAGCTCGGGCAGCCGACCAGCCAGCAGCGCGTCCGGGCACTCACCTATCATACGCATCTCCCTGGCGCTACGAAGCCGCATCGCGCGGGGATGATGTCGGCCGTGCCACACCGACGCGATATACTGTACCACCATCGAAGGCAACTCATTCAGGTTCTCATCGGCAGTCTCCCCACCCCTCTGCGCCAGCAGCTGCCTGATCTGCTCGAGCCCCGTCGCCAACAAGGCGCCTGGTTCGGACTTGCTCACAGCTTGGATCCGGCGACCTGAACCAGAGGGTGGGGCACCACGAAAACTCGACGAGCTATCACTCTCGCCATCCTCGTGCTTCTTCGTATTATTAGTATTCCTCCTCCGTCTCTTCTGGCCCTCGAGGTACCGTTCAGCTCTGGCTGCCAAAACTGAGCTGATATCCCTCTTCTTCGCGAGCTGGCATTTGAGGGTGCTCAGCTTCTCTGTCGGGTTCGGACCGTCGGG